CTTCTCCAAAGTATAAGCACACTTATTCATGAATAGGCCATTTTGCATAAGGTAAGTGTGATCTTCTGCTTCCTCTTCTTGCTGTCCTTCCCCTTGGGACTGACACCTCCACTAACCAATGACAAAGAATAGTCAAAAGAAGGGGAAACACCAAATATATCTATACAGATATATAGATATATAGATATATAGCTAGGTGGGAGGAGGAAGAGAGAGGGCACCAAGAAGCATGACAAAGGGCAGAGCTCAAATCAGCATAAGGACTGTCTTAGTTAGTTTTCCCATTGCTGGGACAAAATACCTGATACCTACAAGTTAAAGGAGGAAAGATTTATTTTACCTCATAGTTTGTAGAGGTTTCAGTCCATAGTCAACTGGCTCCAAGGCAGAGGAGCATGGCAAAGGGGGGATGGCGGAAGAGAAACAGTCCATGGCATGGCAGGCAGGAGGTAGCAAGCAGCAAACCTACATTTTTTTCTGTCCTTTTATATCCCACCCAGGCTACAAGCCTATTGACTAGTGCCACCTACATCCAGGGTGGGGCTTCCATTATCCACACCCAGAACTATGCTAAACCAATTTAGTTATCACACCCTTAATCCCAATACCATACACCCAAACCAGCATCACACATCTATGATTCAGCCACCTCCCCGAAACCCTAAGTATGAGCACATGAGGCTTTGGGAGGATATCTAGATACAAACCGTAACAAGGACCAAGGTATTTTTAAGGAGGTCCTTGTTACGGTTTGTACCTAGATATCCCTTCCAAAACCTCATGTTCAGCTGCTGTACAGCTTAGGGAGAAAGGGAGTTTGCTGTCAACATTGCCAACTTTCTGAGTCTGCCCTCCAAGCCTGACCAACAGCAAGGCTGTCTTGTTCTCTTTTCCTTCCATGCCACTTTTCACCCTTTCTCCCAAACACAGGTTTTGAGTCTTTCACAGATAAAAGTATTAAATAATTTCTTCTCCATCAAGTTGTAGAAAGGGGCATTCTCAATATCTTAATCTGGGAGAAAGAGGTCAAATAGAAAACATTCTATTATATTTAAAACCATTTCAAACTGTCTGATCCATACCACAATCCCTTCTGCACTGCCTCAGGCCTCCAAGCCCACTTTCAGCCTGGCACCCACACTACTTCACACAGTTAAAGCAAAACTGTTAAGAGCCACAAGGAGACCTGGTGAGGGTATCACTCAGGCAGAATCAGAGGTGTCCACTGCACCAGGACAGGGGACTCCCACAGACTCCTGAAGGTAAAAACGGAAGGAAGAAGCTGACAAGTTGACTTAGAACAGAGGAACACAGAGTGAGATCTTAGAAGAGGGAGAAAAGAGAGGACTGAGAAGCTGAAAAAGAGGAGCTACCAGCGTCAGAAGCTAAGAAAAATATCTTCCTAAGAACCACACCTCACGTGGGGAGGCTTAGAAGAAAGATGAAAATACAGCATAAAAAATGACTGAGGAGAGAAGCAAAAACACAGGGCAGCCTAAGAGGTCTCCTTACTGGGTGCTAGTAAAGGCAGCACCTGTGTATAGAGGCAAAAGGAAGTCTCCACTGAGCTCATGCAGTGTCATTAACCTCAAAGTAGGTGTGAACCACTACAAAGTCACCTGACTCCTGGTTTCTTTTATTCCTCTGGATTTTTCTTTTCCCACTTTACTCCTCCTGCCCCATTTCCTCTGCCACCAAAGTATTTGCCAGGTAACACTAGTCTTTTCTTTTGGATTAGTGGAAGACCTCCAGGTCTGCCTTTCTTGGTCTCCATGATGGGGTCACAAAGGAAGAGGAATAGGACTGGCTGTCCTTTAAGTGTCTCTTCACAAATGAGCTTCATGGAACAGAAAAGCAATAATGAGAACCACACACACTCACACACACACACACACACAAAACCACTTCAGACGTCAAAATGACAATTACGGCCTGGGGATTTAGCTCAGTGACACCATGTCTACCTCTCAAGTGCAAGGTTGTGAGTTCAATCTCCAGTACGAAGAAAATTCAGTATGTTGTGTAATGATGCATTATGAACACATTACATGGATATGAAGTGCTCATTTAAGGACAGCTCTATTGCTGGACATGAGAGATTGGAACCAATGGTTCTACAGAAAATGGAGTCACAAGAAATTCAGGCCAGGATCCGAGTTCAATCCCTGGTACCAAGAAAAAAAGAAATTCAGGCCGGAATTCAAGGTTTGGAAAGTTATGATAATGTTCCAGAAGAAGATGACAAGATTGTATTTGAATAAATGTAGATTTTTACATGAATAAATGTAGACTGTTGTACATGAATAAATGTATATTGTTGTATATGAAAAAATAGGCCATACTGCATCTTTTGAACCAAAAATTCATATAAGAGGGCCAGGGATTTAGCTCAGTGGTGCCGCTACCTGCCTCATAAGAGCAAGGTCCTGAGTTCAATCCCTGGTACCAAAAAAAAATTCATAGAAGACATGGTCTTACTTTGGAGGAACTACGGAAGCATATACAGTGAGGCTATGTCGGACAAAGGGACAATTCATGTCCCAGGCAGGACTGAGCAGGATGTCATCATACTACTTAGAACAGTCCACAAGTTAAGTCTCTAGTTTATTTCTGGAAATTCTCATTTAATATTTTCAGACCAGGCCCGGGATTTACCTCAGTGGTTCTGCCGCCTGCCCTGGAAGCACAAGGGCCCAAGTTTGATCCCTGGTCCCCTCCAAAAAAAAAAAGTTATTGAGATAATATTTTCAGACCAAGGTCCACCATGGGCAACTGAAACCACAGAGTGTGGAACCACAGATAGAGGGGGATTCCTGTAGTAATGCTGTGGAACCAACAGTCAAGTGATATTTCTAGGGGGACCTATGTTTTCAGAGTTCCTTTTTGGGGCGTGACACAAACTCGAAGTGTCCCTTCCTAGCCATGAAAGTAGGGGCTCCTGTTGCTGAAAGCAGGCTTTGGAGTGAAGGGCAGAGTGTGGGCTCTGGGGAGCAGAGTGTCTGTGAAGGTGCGCACTGCTGTTGAGACAGGGAGGAGAGGCGCAGGGAGCCTGGGAGAGCAGGCGTGGTGGGGGACACATCGAAAAGCACGTGTGTGCAGTCCTCATCACCTCTCCCTTCTCCGTCGCTCCCCCACATTTCTTCTTCCTTTTCATCCCCACAAGAAGGCTTTGCAGAGGAGGGCTGAGAAGAAAGGCTTTCACAGGGCAGAAAGAAGAAAAGGAACTCACCAGGAAGAAACCGAGCACAAGAGAGCCAGTCTTTCATTTGGAGACAAAGAGTGAATTTTTCACATTTGAGATGTGTGTTTATAAATCAGAACTCTGTGTGTATGTGTGTGTGTGTGGTTCATGCATCAGCCCAAAGTAAAGAGAAAATAATGGCTACAATCCCCAAAGCGGAAGAAACAATTCACAAGTTAAATTAACTACAGGCTTTGTGAATCTTTCTGCTACTAAAGATAATCTTTTAAGGACAAAAAGCATTTTCAATAAGTTTATTGCACACACCTGTGGCACTTTACTAGGCAATTTCTTCATCAAAGGCACTGAAATTCAGAGTAAATATCCTGTGCTTGCGTCATTTGGGAACTCACATTTCTCAAATTCCACTGCAGAAATCCAGGTTCCAGCCCCCATCTCATGCAAGGTGGCCTACTTCCAACAGGTATGTGTCCTTCAGACAGAACCTTATCCAGAACTAATCCACTAATCTACCCTTTACTCCTTTGTGCTACAGATATTAAATAGTGCTCATTCTTTAGCTGTAACGTAAGCACAACCTGAACAACGTATGCCTTTGTCTATCTTAAGTTATAAATAGCCTATCGTTTTCATGAATAATCAATATGACACATATTGAAGAACTGAAACAAAAAAAAAAATTTTGGTACTGGGAATCGAACTCAGGACCTTGAGCTTGCAAGGCAGGTGCAGTGCCACTGAGCCAAATCCCCAGCCCAAAAATATTTATTATTTTAAACCAGGTGAGGGAACAGCACCTCTTTCCATGAATTACTTGAATAAGGAATATGGCTTCAGTCTTCACATACTGCACCATGAGAATTGTTTCTTATGTGACTTTTCAAGAGAGCCTTACTTGGTCCTGTTGAGTGTGACCAGGATGGGAGAGGACTTAGAGAGAGGTGAGGACAGTCTCTCTGGTGCTCAGACTACAAATGATAAAAATGATTTTCCTTCCTGCCATCTCTCCCTCTGCAGACCTTCCACACAGAGGCGGCACCAGTGTATGTGGGGGTCAAACGAAGAGTGGCCACTGGGCTGGAGACAGAGTCCTGTCTGAATCAAACTACAACTCCCTGTCTCGTTGAGACACACCACTGTTGCCCCAACATCGTATTTACTACATTTTTTCACATACAAATTAAGGACTACCATCCTGCAGAATTACTGGACACCCTACTAGGGTTTCAGAAGCTACGTGGACCGTAGTGTCCTGGGTCTCCACTTTGCAAGACTCACCCCAAGTCTCTGTGTGAGCCTTTGCTGGCCAAGATCAAGTGCCCTTTAATACAAGTGCAAATGGTGTTTAGCTGAGGTCATGGCAGGTCCCACAGGGCTTCCACCTGTCTCCTTGGAGGGGCAGTCAGGGTAGTCCTGGTCCTTTCAAACACTGGGCAGTCAGAAGCAAGTTAGGAAGGTGGGGTGGGATTTGGTAAAAATTTGTGGAACAGCACTTCCTGTCAGAATTTGACAGGGAAGATTTTTGTGGATTTCAACCAGAGAGCACACAACTAAAAAACTGGAAAAACAAGAGCACATTTCATCCAATGCAGCATGTCTTCAGACACCCATTCAATCTCTATTTCTGACAATGGACCAAAGAAAGAACTATCTTTTCCTTAAAACATTTAATGTCCCATTTGTATGAGAATGTGTATTCTATAATTAGAATACCATGTAAACCTCTGAGTCACACCATGAGAAACAAACGAAATGACAATATTATGCATTTGAGCCTACAAAGTAAAATTTGCATTACCTCTGTGTTAACAGCATCCATTGATCTTTTCTTCATTTCTCCTATGTCCAAGTAACTGGGAAAAACAAATAAAAGGTAAGGGTTGCTTTTATAGGTGTTAAGTCAGTTACATAAATTTATTTTTAAACATTATTTTTAAAAGTAAAGCAAGTCATAGAAAATGCATAAGCCTAAAGCAACAATCAATAGGTATTAGAGAACTAAGAACTGCTTTCTACATCACCAACCAAAGCTGATATGTATCTACCCTAAACTCCAAGGGAATTGGAAGCCAGGTATGATGACGCACACCTGTAACCCCAGAACTCAGGAGGCTAATGCAGGTGGATTGCTGAGAGTTCAAGGCCAGCCTGGGCTACATAGTAAGTTCAAGGCCAGCCTGAACTACAGAGTGAAACCCTGTCTCAAAAAAAAAAAAAAAAAAAATCAAGGGCGGGGGATTTAGCTCAGTGTTTCCACCACCTGCCCTGCAAGTGCAAGGACCCAAGTTTGATCCCCAGTACCAAAAAAAAAAATCAAAGAAAGTCATAAATGCATCTATTAGGGAACATTTTCCCCTTAATAGTTAGCTGCTCACTATATGTACTATATATCTGGCTTTTGTACGAATTTGATAAAAAGTGGTTTATTTGTAAAGCTGCTGAGCAGCTCCACCAATCATAAACTTTTTAGGTCAAAGGAAGTACTGATAGGGAGTGTTAAAGTAACACCTGGGAAAGGCTGAAGACTGATCCGAAAAACCACTTTACTGGCACGGAAATGCTCAGGCATGGAGATTATTTAAGTGGTTCAGCACAGAGACAGATGGAGGGACTGGTTAACCTCTGGGAACACCTATTATTCCATTACTATTTGCTACAGATACTAACTAGTGATCATTCATTAGCTACTGCTTGAACACAACCTTCAAACTTTATACTTTTGTCAACTTCAAGCTGAAAGTCCATCATTGTGATTTGGTTCCAGTTTTAAATGGTCCCTAAACTATCCTTTGTACATAAAAGGTGTTATATAAACATTGTAATATAAAAAGTATAAACCTAGCATTCATTACCATAGAAGGATAGAGTCATTATCTCAATGACTACAATTGCCAAATTGTCAAAAAGAAGTTTTTATTAGAATTAACTTTGGCTACTAACGTTATTTATTGTGGCTACTGTTATTTGCTTTTTTGGACAGAATACATCAATTGATCGATATCTCTGGAAAGTATTATATATTTTTCCTATATGCACAGTAGCTATATAAGATAGTACAAACAGTACCCCGTCTTAGCAATAAAATGGGTCTTTTGTAAGTCTGCAAGGACTGTTTCTAGCATAAAACCAAAATACTCTGTCATACGTCAGAAAGTGATCTCAGATTTACAAGATTAACATAGTAGCCTCAGTGCCAAAAGTAGAGTCAACATTTCCCAGACCATAGGGACAGTTTCTGGGAAAATAGTCTCTTGAATTCTCTGCTATAAAATAAAGATTTAACTACCTGAAATTTAGATATGGTTCCAAAAATATAAAAATCTAAGTGAAAGGAATTCCAGCAGGAATTTAATGGTTTCCATTTAGAAAATATTTTGCTGTCTTCCCCAACATCATTTAGAATCCACATGAAAGCCCACAAGTTACCCTCAGTACCTTTTGAGCTTTCTTTTGTTCTGCTAGTTGCTTCATTTGTTATACAGTCTTACAGAGCTAACCTTCAAGTACATTCAGCATTTAAATCTTGCCATCTGTCATCATAACTACAGATACTGCTACTTTAACACAAATGTAAGAAGCGAGTCGTCTGTCAGCACAGAAAACTAACCATGGACACTGTTATAACAAACTCAGCTTTCTTGTGTGCACTAAAAGCAAAAATAACTGTGCAAATCTCTTATATACACATGCAGAGTGATGTGAAGTACCCCTTCTGTTTGCTTTGGAGCTATGTCCTTTTATCTTGTGTACTAGTAATGCCAAACAAACAAAATAATTCAGTATGACTTACTGAAATGAGTCTACAATTTCTAGTTGTTCACAGCTTCTGAACCAGCTTCCCATACCCATAAAATTACTTGATGTGGAAATTATTTAATTAAGAAGTATATAAAGAACTTTGATATTTACAGAACATATTCATATCCATAGTATTTGCTTTTTATAACACTCCCCTGGGGTAGGAATGGTTGCATTCCTTTTCCATATCAAGAAACTGACCAGCTGGTCAAGAACACAACCAAGAAATGGCTAAGTCTCAGTCTCCTGTTTTAAGTTACAAGTTTCTTTTAGGCACACAGTTTCCTCTAGTTCTTTTCTGTGAAGTGAGACAAAGTGTACTTAAGGGAAGTTTCAAGGAATACAAAAATAAATCCAAATATAATCGATCCAAAAATAAATCCAAATATCCTTCATCTTCTATAAAAAGATTGTCTGGTATAACAAAAAGTAGAATACATAGAACTAAATTAGGTAATGAAGGATGATATTAGAGAACTTTAGTAGTATTTGGGAAAATATTTCTACACAACTAACAACAAAATCCAACTCAGGAAGCTGACGCAGGAGGATCGCCATGAGTTCAAGGCTATCCTGGTCTACATAGTATACTCAAGACCAGCCTGAATTATATAGTGAGACCCTGTCTCAAACCCCACCCCCAAAAATCCAAAATCATAGATTTATGATAAAGATTTTTTGCTATCTTAACCATGGAATGGGGAATTATCATAAGATCTAGGAATTTCACTCCTAAGTATATACGCAAGAGAAATGAAGACTTCATAGAAGCATTATTCATACTAGCCAAAAAGTGAAATAACCCAAATATTCATCAGCTGCTTAATGGATAGGCAAAATGTGGTGTGTCTATATCACAGTCTATGATTCAACACCAAGAAGAATGCTATCCAGAGCCATGCTACAACAAGGAACCTTAAAAATAAGTTGGACACAAAGGGCACTTATTGTCTGATTCCACTTATAAGAAATGTTCAAAATACACAGATCCATAGAAGTATGAGATTAGTGGTTACCAGACAATGGGGGAAGGGGAAATCAGGAGGTTTAGATTTCTTTGGCGGGGGGGGGGGGGGGGTTACAGAAATGTTGTAAAATTGGTTTGTGATGATGTTTGTACAACTCTGTGCATATACTGAAAATCACTGAAATAGAAGGATGGAATGTTTAGAAGGATGGAGTGGGTAGGTAAGGAACATCTCAGCAAAGCTATAAAGAAAAAAAACACATAAAATTCCACCTGTCCCATACTGCCCAACCCCACCAGCTCTCACTCTGATATAACTCACGGTTTTACCGCATGCACTTATCCCTGTGCATTAAAACTCAGTGCACCTGTGGTCTCTCCCATTAGATTGGGACCTCCTAGAGTTGAGGGGTCATGTCATGTTCATCCTTGATGCCTCCCTCACAGACCCCAGAAGCATTTGCTAAGTCACTGAACATCCACCATCAGTGAGCTCCCTGCCAAGAACCCGGGAGCAATCCCTGTCCTTTGAGCTGGAGGCAGACAGGTAAATAATACAGCAAGCCACTAAACTTTTGCAAGCATTAAGTTAATAGCATGAACTTGCAGGGGGGTGGGTGGAGGTCACCAAAGCCAGGCTCTGCCCATCATTAGAAACTAAAGATTGGAAGAATATAAACAATGGTGGGTGCAAAGTAGTTTTCTCCTCTGGTGATATACCATCCCACACTTTGGAAGTGATCTTTAAGAAATCTTCATTTAAACGAAAGGGCTAAAAAAAAAAGGTGAAAAAAAACCGAATAGAAAAAGCATAAATACAGTAGCAGTTTGGTTGCTAACCTTGCAAGAATGTGCTTTTAAAATTCCTCATTTACACAAATTTTAAGCCTGTACCTACTGCCACCCAAGTGAAATCCCTCCTGCGATCCCAGTTTCAACCTGCACCCCCAGCTGCAAGGGGGGCCCTGAGAGGCAGCACCCCAAGTGGTAGTCGCCCTCCACACTCCCAGAAGTGGATGGGGGTCGCTCACCGTCTCCTGCCACTCTCCCACCGCCGAGCACCCCGGAAGGAGGGCGCTGCGGACCCACTCACTTGAGCTTCTTGAAGGCCTCCTGGCCCCCCGCCACGTAGTTGCCGCCGCTCTCGATCTGGTCCAGCCTGCGGATGCGGTGGCCGGTGCGTGGCGTATAGATGTTCCTGACCGCCCCAAAGGGCGCCTGGACGCCGCCCGTCACCTCCTTCAGAAACACGTCGAAGCTGGACACCTTCTTCTCGTGAATGACGACGCGACGCCCCGCGAAGAACGGGTCCCCGTTGCGGTACACGAACACGCTCTTCACCACCGGCTGCGACAAGTGGCTGGACCTGGCGCCCGGGTCGCTCATCTTCCCCGGGGGACCGGGCCGGCACCGCCTCTGCCCCAGAGGCCTCGCGGCGCGGGTCGCCTCCTGCAAGGGTCGGGACTGAGACAGCCGGACCGACGGGACTGCGGCGCCCGCGCTCCGAGACTCTCGGCTCAGGGGCGCAGCCTCGCCTGGGCGCAGCACATCTGCCGGGCTGCACCTGCCTCCCACGGCGCTCACCGGGGCACAGGTGCGATGGGGGCGCCCCTGCCGCCCGCACGGGACGGGAAACCTGGGACACGTGCGCGCGGGCGCACACACGCGCACACGCACACTAAATACGCGAAACTCAAGTTTCCACCACCGCGTCTCTGCTTGTCAGTGTGCAAACAGCTTAGCGTTCTCTGTTCCCCTCTGCCAGCCTCCCGCCTTGATCTACTGTTTGGCCCCTTTGGTCCCGAAGTCAGTTAAGACCCTGGCTGGAGTTGCCTAGATTTTTCTTTGCTGAAAAATAAAAACCTAAAATGCACCGAGACGGACAGACCGGCAGAGACAGAAGGACAGACAAAAGACAGACGCCAAGACGGAGACCGAGAGACCGAGAGAGAAAGAGGGAGAGACGCCACCCTCGCGTGTCCGGGACCCCCGATGACCAGCGCCGCGCGGTGTCTAGGCGCGGTGGGCCCGGCCTGCACCCCACCCGCAGTGTCAGGGTCCCAGGGGCGCCGCCCGCGGTACCTGGGGACCTTCGAGGCTGCGGCTTGTTGGGATCGTGGTGACCCAGCTGTCCCTCCCCGCCTGCTTCCCTCTGCGGGCCGCGCTCAGCCCCGGGGAGCCTGGTTGTTACTTCCCGCCGTTTCCACGGCAACCGCAGCCGCGCGGGGACTAAGTGGAGCTCCAGCCCTGCGGCCAGGCGCGAGAGTGGGGCACGCCCGGGGCAGAGGCCTGAGGTCGCGCTACACGGCGACGCCTCCTGGGGCGGGCGCTGGGCACTTGGCTGCGAAGAGGTTTGTCCAGGGGGAAAGCTGCTTCCTTAGGAGGCTGTGCCCCAGAGCCGACCTGCAGGCGGGCTGTGCAGATCAGCAGATGGAGGATTTTGAGAGTATTAAGAACCTCAGTGAAGTGCCGCTTTGTCCACTCCAGACCGGGACACACATATTGTGGGTAATTGTCTTTAAAAAGTTGAAGAAGGCACGGGGGTGTACGCCTACAGCCCCAGCATTCTGGGAGGCTGAGGCAGGAGGATGGCAAGTTACAGCCCAGCCTGGGCAATTTAGTGACTTATTTAGTCTCAAAAACTTGTGATCTTGTGCAGAGGGATTTAGCTCAGTGGCACCGCACCTGCCTCGTAAGTGCATGGTCCTGAGTTCGATCCCCAGTACAAAAGGAAAAAAACAACTTGAAATCTTGCAATTCCTCTCTGCCAGTGCTCCCTAGTCCTCCTAAGATCTTACTGCTATGTGTCATGTCCATATTTTATGACCAGGTGATCCTAATTGATCATACATGAGTACAAATCATATCTGTCATTGATTGAGCACTTCACCATGTTCCAGGCACTAAAGTAGGCACTTTGCATAGATTATCTAAGTTAATGTTCACAATAGCCTTCAGAAGTTAATACTGCTCTCTCCTCAGATGAGGACACTGAAATGTGGAGAAGCCAGGCCTTTCCCTGAGGTCCCGGAGGAGGGTGCAGCCCCACTCTGTTTTGCTCCAGAGCTTCCTCAACCACTATGCCACAGCACCGTGTGCGTGAGTGTGAGGCATTGCAATCCGGGGAGAAATTTTCTACCAAAGCCATGGAACACATTAATGCCATGGCAGCTACTTTTCAAAACAAGATCACAGAGCAGGGGACACAGAGATGATGATAGAACAGGGAAATTCCATGAGCTGGTGGTGGGAGTGCACAGGTCGTAGCATGGCTGAGGAAGACAGCTGTGCAAGTGCTGTGCTGTCCCATGGCCCACGAAGACAGAATACAATGGAGGGCAGGGACTAAGCACCAGTACCCCAACTGCCTAAGGCTCCCCGACACCTGTACTAACCCACCAAACAACAAAAGCAGGCAACACTGTGTGAAAAGATTAGGACTTTCCGGATGACAACAGCAGCACATTAAGTAAGCCAACCACAGGCCCCTTCTGGACATGGGATCCTGTCACCAGTCCCCAGGCCATGCATGTCTGTATTCTGATGCCTCTCACGGTGTCCCCAGCCCAGAATTGTCTCTGGAGCTGCCTGTTGCACCTGATGTTGTCATAAATGTTTAACATTTGGCTCTTAGAGGGGAGGAAAAGACCTTGATTGATACATATCATTTGCCAATTTCTGTAATCGACTTCTGTCTGACATGACTGCAGGCAAGAGCTGCACAATAGCATGACATTGTGCGGTATTTCAACCACACAGATACGATAGGCACAAATTATCTCATAGGTGGCGATAATAGTAAAACATAAGCAGGGACGAGTTTGAAATATTTATTATATTATCTCTGTTGTCAATGTAATGCATTCAACTGTACATCTATATTATTTAATTTTTAATAATGAAGCATTTAAAATTCCTGAAAATTTAATGGTTGACTCCCTGAACTAGGTAGCTCCTAGCACACCAGCTTTTCCAGACTAGCTGGAGGGAGGCCTGGAAATGCTTTCCTCTCTCCTGATTTCTCAAAACCTCTCTTTGCCTATGTTCCTTTTCTCCACAGTGGGCTCATCTATTCATTTGCTCAAAGCTGGCACCTACACCTTTCTCTTCCTCACATATAAAACTGTGGCAAAGAAACAGCCAATGACAACAGTAACAACAAAAATAATCCTATATTTGCAATATTTCTCCCTGTTCCTTTTGCTTGCTAAAGTGGTTTTGAAGATTTTTTTTTTCTCTCAAGCAGAATCCCAACAGTCAGCAAAAAGAGGATTTGAGGAAACCAGAAAGGTTAGATAAGCCCTGATCATAAAGGACTGAGGTGGAATGAGATTCACTTGGATGGACACTAGAGAATGTGTGAGACCTCATAGCAAAAGGCAGGAAAGAGTATTTTGTCTCTAAGCTCTTTTGTAAGTGTGTGGAAAGCATTGAGAATAAGAGAGATGGCCAAAGAAGATACTTAAAGAATCATACTGTGCATTAGAAATCACAACACCAAGCGTTGGGTGCTTGCTTCCTCAAGAGTAAAATGTCTAGATGCTTTCAATTATATTTTGCTGGCCAAATAATTATTTTGATGTAACATTGTGCTTAAACAAGACCATCATGCCCTGCACTTACAAAGAATCTTCAGCCCATCACCAAGTTCTGTCAGTTCTACCCCCAAATGTTGCTCGAATCCATTTGCTTATCTCCAAACTCATTTCCTCCTCCCAAAGTCAGGGTGCCAATCCCCAAAAGATCACCCTATCTCAGGTTCTACTTCCCTACTGTCCATTCTCCACAGGACAGCCAAGCTGAAAGGCTTGTTGGAAAAAAAAAATGTATTCACCATTTTCTAGCTTAAAACTCTTTCAAAGCTGATCATATTTTCTAAGATGAAATAAGCAGCATCAACATCGATTACAAAGTCATGAACACACTACCCCTGTTGCCTTGGCTTCCATCTTCTCTGGCACACCCCTCCCCCTGGCTCTCCAAAGTCCATGCTTGTCCTGCTCCTTCTTTCAATTTCCTTTGGAACACTCTTGATGTCCCTGCATGCTCACTCAGTCACCATTCATTTGGCTCCCCTCAATGGATACTGGAAATCCCAACTTAAACGTCCTTTTTCCCTGTCCTGTACCACTCGCTACACTAGGATGAACCTCCCATATACTATATATTTTTCCTCCATATGTTTAGCCAATAATAATTATAAATCTTTGTGTATGTTTAACTATAAATTTTTGTATATTTATATGTTTGGTCTTAGTGGAATAATATGTTATATGCATAAACTCCCTGAGGAAAAGGATTGTGTCTATTGTACCATCAACACCTTAACAGTGTCCAGCATGGAGGCTGGAATATAAATACCAAATAATTATTTCATGGATGAGTGGAAAATATTGTTTAAAATTAAGAGAAAAACTTTTAAAAACTAGGAAATCCTCTTGTAGGAAAAATCATAAGTTAAGATCAGCAAATAAGAAAGTACTTGACAACCTAAGAGATCCTAAAACTAATTTCTTAGCTTTAGAATGAAAATAGGCAGCCAGACGTGAAGCGCACACACACACACAGTATACTGAGCTCTCGTACCTGGGACTGCGTGTCAGTGATCTTTCAAGGCAATAGAGATATGAATAAAAGGTGGGGCCTTGTTGCTGGGTTTCCCCTAAAGAGTGTGTCACATTTACACTTGGTTTTCACATTTCAATCTCTGAAAGAACAAGAATGCACATTTCTTGAGACTAAGTTTCTTGGATATACACATGGATGATACGACTGTTCCTTTGGGGGGGCGGGTACTGGGGATCGAACTCAGGACCTTGCGCTTGCAAGGCAGGCAGCGGCTTCAATGAGCTAAATCCCCAGCCTGATACCATTGTTTCTGATAGGCGTCAAATACCTCTGGTCAAGTTAACTCAGTTGGTAAATTCTTTTCCATATCCACATAGTGGGTTACCTACTTCGGCCAGCTACACTAAAAGTGCCTCCTAGATTGGAAGTGTGGCTCAGTGATAGAGCACTTGCTTAGCATGCACAAGGCCCTAGATTCCATCCCCACAACCCCTCAAAATGCTTAATGGTAGCTGTAAGAAGGATCATCCTCATCTCCTCTACAAACCAAATCACGTAGGCTCTTCTTGCTTAACATGTATTTCACTGTAATGGTTTAGATCTAAAATGTTCCCCAAAAGTCTTATGTTCAGAGGTGAGGATTTGGGGAGGTGACTGGATCATGGGGCACTGTACTCATCGGTGGCTTAGTCCACTGATGAGTTCAGAGCTAACTGTGCTGTTTGGCAGTCAGGGATCATCAGAAGAGGCAAGTTACAGGAAGCATGACCCAGAAGGGTGTCTTCCTGTCCCTGGCTCTTCCTCCTCCTCTCCCTTTCTTCCCTTCCCTTCCTCCCTCCTGCCCACCCCCCTTCTTCCTGGTTGCCATGGATTGAGTACATCCACCATGCCATTCCACAATACTACTTTTTGCCTTGGAGCCAACCAATCACAGACTAAACACTGTGGAAACCACGAGTTTAAGTTACATTTAAATTACAAGCGTCAGGTATTTAGTCCCAGCAATGGAAAAATGCCTCATATATAAACCTTCCTCTTTTCCTCATTCTTTTTGCCCCAACATCATTATAGAGCTTGTTCTATAAGTCACCATGTAACTAAGGAGTTAAGAAGAATAATAACTAGTAGTTTACTACTTCATTTCTATTTAAAACGTAGATAAGTACTCACAATCTTCTAAAAGAAGAAACATAAACTCTTCTTTAATATAAAGCCATAATTGGATCCTGAAGAAACCCATAAAGTGAATCCCAATGAAATTCACAGCTCTTTATCTTTAAATTCTAAGTTAACGAGTGCCTCATTTCTGTAAGTTGCTATTTTCTTTGAAAAAACATAATTTCCTGTTTAGAGATTTGACATGAGTGGAAAAACTTTGCAGTTGCCTGCAGTGTGATTGCAAACTCCACATGAAAATGGCAAGTTTAGAGGCAGGGAGAAGGAAAGTCGAGAGAAGGCACAGCACACAGAGACCTTCTGTTACTCAGTGCTCACAAGAAAATAGTGTCTTTCCTGGATATTCCAGCACTGGGGGTGACAGTGAAGGCAGGTGTTAAGTCAGGGTGACAGTTACTCTTAAAGATCAACCAGACTGGATGAAGAGAGCCCGGCAGCGTAGCAAAGCACATATCTAGGTGCATCTGCAGGTGTGTTTCCAGACATGATTGGCAAGCAGGCTGGCACATGAGAGGCAAAGGCCACCCCACTTGTG